TTTTGTTGATTGGGGTGTCTGGTCACATCTGAACGTCTCATAGATATTCTAATCATTAAGGATGCACCGATATCGGTCTTTCAGTATCGAGTACGAGTACTGGTATTTTGCTTTCGGTACTCGCCGATACCAAGTACCGATACTGGTGATTCCCGCTGGAATGGAGCCGGTTTCCCGGGCAATCAGGAAGCCGAGCGGCGGGTAATGACATGCCACCCGGCTTCCTGATTGCCCGGGAAGCCGGCTCCATGTTGTTCGGCCAGCTCGATGCTGATTGGCTGGGAAGCCGGCTTCCCAGCCAATCAGCATTGGGCCAGCTTTCTGGCCACTCAGGAAGCCCGGCAGCGAGTAATGACCTGCCTCCCAGCTTACTGATTGGCTGGGAAGTGGGCTCCATGCTGATTGGCTAGAAAACCGGCTTCCCAGCCATTCAGCATCAAGCCGGCTGTTCGGCTGGCTTGATGCTGATTGGCCGGGAGCCGGCTTCCCCGCTAATAAGCAAGGAGCCGGCTGTGTGGCTTCCTGATTGCCCAGGAAGCTGGCTCCATGTTCCCCTACGGCACTGCCGGTCAGAAGACATTTTCCTCTGACTGGAAGTTCTGGTATCGGGGAGGTATCAGAGCATTTGGGCGAGTACGAGTATTTGCCCAAATACTCGGTATCGGTGCATCCCTAATAATCATCTTTAAAGCAGAACTTCGATCAAATAAAGTTTTAACCCATGCAGTGGCGCTACCACCACACTGCAAGGGTTATGTGCTTGTTTTGTCTGGGGAGCTAAAATATATATATGATAAAAGTAATACTTTCCTGAGCAGGTATCACAGCTAGCAACCACACCCTCCAGCCTGTCTCCCCCTCTTTTCTGCAATATTACAACATTTATTTCCGTCTATAAGTCTCTGACCTATTTGCTTAGCTAAATCCAGGTGGTGACTTTTTTTTTGGCCAGGCGGTGTATATTACTGTATGTGTATCATAATTTCGTAATAGTGTGACATAATAATTAATTTTTAAGCCAGTAATTATCCAAACAGATGCAGGATAAATTAAGGTAGTGTAAAATTGGTCAACACAGCAGCATAACAGCATGACATGCTGGTTAAAAGGCAATTCCATCCCAATAGTTTTAGGCTAGGCATGCACATGTGTGGCCACCACAGAGTCTAGACCTTATCCCCATTGAGAATCTTTGGGATGTGCTAGGGAAGACTTTACACGGTGGTCCGATTCTCATATCATCACTACAAGATCTTGGTGTAAAAGTAATGCAACTCTGGACGGAAAGAAATATTGTGACATTGCATAAGCTTATCGAAACAATGCCATAGCGAATGCGTTCTGTAATCAAAGCTAATGGTGGTCCAACGAAAGATATTAGAATGGGTGACTTTTTTGGGCCAGTCAGCGTGGTTGGTACACACCCTCACTCATCAAATCATCATCACCAGTCCAGTTAGGTAGCACTATGACTTTAATAGGTTGGTTTTACTTTGCATATGGAAACCTAGAACAGCTAAAAGGAAATCATAAGGATTGTTTATAATTATATATATAGAAAGCAAATAAATATACAAACTAGCCACAATTAGTGAGATTTTTGCTGCTTTTTATGGGCAACCAAAACAAGGAATCAAGGTACTCTGATTGACAATGTTACTCTCATGTCACTTGACACATCAGGTTGATTTCTCCACTTTAATTTCAGGTTCAATAATGCAGATAATTTTGTTTCATTTTTTGTATCAGTCCCATACCCCCATAATTTGTTTCCCAAATCCCCATTTCACTAGAATAAAATGATTGTGATCATT